CTGTATTTCATTTTATTTTATTTTTCTAAATAAATACCTATTGAGGGATTGTTGCATTTAAACGTTCAGTTGCTGTTGTCCTTATTAGGTTTAAACATATTAAAGTTGACACCGAACTCAGGCCCCATCTCATTGTACTAACAACTCAAGATGATATTCTATAGCTACGTGAGATAGGGGTTACACTAATATGACTGTGTAACGATAAAAATAAATCAATAAAGGCCTGCTCCTGGGTAAGGCATGTTCAGGAAAGACGTGATTCTCTCCGCAAACACAGAGGATGCATCATCATGCAGCGATGCTTTGACTTGTGGCAATATTAGAAAACATGATGCTAAAATCTAATCAAAAAGACATATTGAACATTTTAGTATCTCATAAAACTCTGGATGCTACATTCTGTGGGTTGAACATGATGTGAAGGTCTTAATGTTCTGGGGCCACTTTATATTTCAGTCAGTCTGTTAAAAGGTAACTGAATGTGAGCCGCTGTACTGCTCTGTGGTACAGCTGTAGATAATGGAGCACACATCAGTCAGGACTCCTGCCTTTGGCCTCTACTGCACCTTTAGTGATTGCTTACACCCTTTATATTGTGTAGTTATGAGGCAGCTCTCTATGCTGTCTATGGAGTGTCTCGTGTTCCTACTGGTCAGAAACAGGTTCCTCCTTAACACCATATAAGCCAAGGCTCATCAGTCTCACTCAGGACAACCCAAATGGGCACCTTTCAAGATTAGTTTAATTTAAAAACGCAGTCTTTACTTTAACTCTGTTTCCTTGCTCAACTGCAGACAAGATCCAGTAGCATTAAGACACGTGACCATCTGATCTAACTGACAGTGTTGAAAGCCTCTGTTTGCTTTACAATGCATTACTGTACACAACAAAGACCGTGGACCTGATCCCTCATCAGTTACACGTCAATAACTATACCAAGAAACAGCTTCAGGTGGAAAATACAGAAAACTCTTCCAGTATACACATGGTTACTTGGTCATTATTTTAAGTCAGACGTAGAAAAATGTGATCCTCTCCTTGGATGAGGCAGCAGGAGGGCCACTGTTTCAATACACCAACAGAAAGCATCACATACACCAGTCAGCCACATTAAAACCATCATTAGGGGACGTGAGTAACACTAATAATGCTCTGCTGGGGAACAGGGGTCCTGCAGTCATGTGGACGTTGCTTTGACCGAATGACCCGCATGTACACACCATCCCAGACGAAACACATCTCCAGCAGGACAATGTGCCTGGTCCCACTGCCAAAATATGCTCAAGAAACAACTCAAGTAACAAACCCCCCAACTAACACTGTGACTGAGCATCTGTGGGAGGCATCAGAACAGTGCCACAGAGGTTTCAGCCCAAAGGACCTGCTTCCAGCACACCGATTCTGAACAACACAGGACAGTGTTAGAGGTCCATGTTCAGGGAGGACTGACACGGTAGTAGGAAGGTGTTTTTAATCTTGTGGCTAACTGGTGTATGTTACAGATGCTTCTGGTCTCAGTGAGCAGTAACACTTGGACAGCTTCATACAGAAACAGAGTGAACATGAGTGTGTGTGCTTACTCTTCCTCTTCCCGATGTCCAGGTCAGACGTGGCAGCCTCACACAGCAGCACTATCCCCATGGTAACAGCAGCATCTGGCAGTGATGTCAAGGTTTAGCCACGTGCACATCAGTCTGCTCTAACTCCTGGGTCGAACCACCACCATTACACACTGAAACTGAGCAATAGACATAACCAGACAGGAGTGAAGAGCATCACCAATGCTGGTGCTCTGAGGAGACGTTAAAAGCTTTGGCTGAAGGGGAAGCGCAGGGATACAAATCACTATGGCTCACACTCCAAACAGTCTGACCATTAACCATGAAGTGAATAATACTGATTATATTGAAAGAAAGTTCAAGTCTGGATGCTTGTTTTTGACATGCTGGGAAGATGGGAGAGTGTAAAGTCATGAGCCACTCTGATGGGGACCAGACTGCTGAAAGTGTTGAAGCATCTCCAAAGTGCACATTTGATACGCAAGTGTTCAGCCAGCGGTGTAGACTGCTGCACTGACTAGCACAGACGTCAGACACTTTGGCGACAAATACATGAAAATGCTGCAGAAATGCTTTCCCTGTGGACATGGTGTCAGTATCAGATACCACCAGGCACCTTCACAAATCTTGTAGATTAATCGTAGCAACTAGACTGAGTTCCTTGAAGATGTTCCACCTCTCATCCAAGAGGCTTCATCAGTTCTGACTGACTAGCTGACTTCCAGATACTGATATCCTAAAGGAGCCATTAACACCTGAGTTTGGGTTTCACAAAAGCCACAAAGACCTTAACGAACCCCTTCGTGGCAGGGGGAGCACCAACGATTCATATAACAAGGGGGAGGAGCAACAAACCCCCAACTCAAACCAGAAATCAGGTGTTAATGGCTCCTTAAGGATATCAGTATCTGGGACTCCGAACTCGTCAGTCAGAACTGATGAAGCCTCTTGGATGAGAGGTGGAACGTCTTCAAGGAACTCAAGCAGGTCCAGTTGCTACGATTAAGCTATGAGAATGACCATGACCTGGATGACTGAGGATCTTCACAGACTTCAGAGATCTGGTAGAGTCCATGCTTCAACCAGCCAGAGGTGTTTGGTGGCGTATGAGGCCCCTCCAGCATACAGCACAGTGGTCAGAGTGTTTGGTGGCACCAGATTAGCTGTTTGGGCTGATTTCTATTTGTGCATTTTACAAGAAGATAATAGAGATAAGACTTGTGCTTTAGCATGTATTGTTTAGTGAAAACATGTCCACAGCTGAAGGATACTGAAGAGCAGGATGATGTGCGTCTCTGCCACAAACTGGGCCTGGCTGCTGCCGTGGATGTAGCTCTGAAAACAGTCGGATCTTAGATTAGTGTACTGGTCCACACACAACAAGGTGTTTCTGTCTCTGGAAAGTAGCACTACACAGTTAAAACACCAAGCATCTTTCAAGAACCAGAATAACAGTCCGCTGCAGAGAGCATTGACATATGGGTTCCATCTTTTCAGTCTGTTGATAGGGAGTCAGTCAGCATTAACGTGTGTGGCTAGTGGATTTTAAGCTGAGTGAGTTCCTTGTATGAGGCTACTGTAATGTGTTTTGCTGCCACAAAAGAAATGAATTCATGACAGCTGAAAGCAAGTTCACAGCATCTCTCCGTCTCCAGCTGTCATCAATGATGAGCTCCAGAAGAAAGAGCTGTTCAATCTGAGAACACTGACATGTTGGAGCATAAACATGACAGAAGATCAGATTCACTTCATGATTAACAGATAAAAAGGCTCCAGAATGAGGACTCCCTTCTGATGAACAGTAGCTATATGACAGCTCTTCCAACAAGATGAATGTGGTCAAAGTGTTTTCTATCCTGAAAATCTTTTTACCAGAAACACATTGGTAGGGTGCCTTGTTTTAGAACTGCAGTTATCCTTTATTGTGAGTTATGGACCTTAATCCTAACCCTTCCCATCTTCAATCTAAAGCGTGGTCTTCAGCTTCAGAGCACTATTTCTTCAGTTTACATCTATAAACTGTTCAGCTTTCCCTCTAAACTCTGCCCTCTCTCTCAAACAGCCTCTGCTCTGTTACAAATGGTTCAGTGACACTCAAATCTACTGCTGCTGACCAGATGTCCTGTGGTTCAGCTTTAGTGTTTCCTTTCTGCATGTTTGCAACATTTCTGCTCTTGGATCTTTGTGACAGAACTCCATCATTCCACAGCCGATGAGAATGCCAGCTATGCCACTGAAATGGTCTTCTTCCTCAGGTTACATCTGAAAGTACAAGTGCCTTACTGTGTAACTGCTTCATCACCAGCCACCATCCAGGGCTCACTGGTAATTCATTCACTTGTTGTTCTGTAGGGCCAAGTCATGCACATACAAGTTCCTCCATATACCAGCGTCTGTATTTGTAGTATAATAGCTACACTTCTTCCATTAGACGTCCACTGCTGTGCACTTTAACCACTTATCAGATGAAGGACCTCATGTATGTGTTGTACTTTAATGCTACTCACTTTCTCCAGATCTAAATGCTAGAAGCATATTTGCATACGGACACGAGAATAAACCCATGATAATGTGCTGGGTTTAAACACCAAAATGAGTCTGAGCTGCAGAATGCAGGTAAACAGCACCTGACATGACAGGGCTCCAGACTGCCACCATTTGGGTCACATTTATGACCTTTTTTTTTGAGAGTGTGCGAGTTGAAATTTCAAGCGGTCGCATGGTGTCACATGGTGCATGACAATCATGAAGCTGGCTTGGTGTCGCTGTGATCTGCACAGGCAGCTACTGAGTTCACCACAGCAGTCTGAAGTAGGACTATTAGAACTTTGGTCTACTGCGGTATTTATACTTAAAGATGGGTCTTCTTAGGACATGCAGACTCCATCTGCATCTGCTGTGTTCTTCGAGCGGAGCAGCGCATGTAGATTCCCTCCGCTTGTTAGAAAGAAATCACTTAGTTTTGTCTCGGACAAATCTGACATCGGAACGTCCTAATTTAACTCTTAAGTTTAACTATTCTTTGGTCACACACTGGTCTGAGCACTGCAGCCACCAAGCAGCAGCTAGCGCAGCCTGCATAGTGCTGCGTTTAGGGAACATCTGTAAATTGTAGTGTCTGTTGATATACAGATGTTGATCAAGTGATGTGTTTTGCCTGTGACCTGGCGGGAGATGCAACCAAATAAAAAAAGTTGGTCGCACCGGTGCTACTTGTGAAAAGTTAGTCTGGAGGCCTGTACTGAAAGATCGGATTGAGCTATTAAACTACAGACACTGGTATATGTTCAGGAGAGTCTGTGTGCACCAGAATGACACTCTGCCACTTTGATTCTCCAATGAGGACAAAATAGAACCTTCACTGAGCACCTGAAAGTCAAACAGCAGCTACTGGCAGCTGTTAAGGTGGATGCATGTTGCTGAGGACCTTGATTCAGGTGATCCACGTTGGCAGTGACCTGCTAGATCTGGTTAAGCAACTTGTTTTGGGGCTACGATTATGTCTAGGTATTACAGTAAAAATAAACAGTGGTTGGACAATTTAGCCAGTGTTGCTTCACAGATATCTGAGAAGTCTTAGTGTGAGGAGACACAAAAACTGAACCAAACAGTCAGGGAAACACATCAATATCTGCCAACTAAATCGTTACTAAACAGCTTTTTCGCCAATATGTGTGTAAAGGTGTAATAACATGTTTGAAAGTGTTGAAGTTCAATTCCTGTGGGAAACCCTGAAAAAAACCTGCTCCAGTCAGGGTACAGATAAATGATTGTCGAGCCTTCAGGAACTTATGAGGGGTCAGCTCAGGGCTTTGTCATGATTCTGAGTTGATTGCTAGCATTTATATTTCACCACAAACACTCCATTGTGGAGAAATAATTTCTAAATATATCTCTTATTCCACTTTGCAAGACATTGGAGTCCAGCCATATGGAGAAGACGTTCCTCCAACTAAGCTACGATAAAGCAGCTCAGAAGCTCACAAAGGCAACTCCAAAGGGCCACTCCACTTTTCTGAAACATGCAGAAGCTGTCAAAAATTCTGCAGCTGTAGAACATATAAAGGAGGCTCAAAAGGAAGGAAACCTGAGGTACTGTATGAAGTATAAAATGATCTGTACCAAGAAGTCAGTTCAAGCATTGACAGCAGAGGAAGAGTTATTGAAGCTGAAGAGGAGACGCACTAGCTCTGAGCTCAGTGCATCTACTGGCTGTAGCTCTAGAAGTTCAGTCAGTTCACCTCCTCAATAACGATGATGCATTCTTAGCAACCAACCCGCTCAGCTCTACAAAATTATCCAGCAGAAGCTAGAAAGAAATCTAGAGTGCCAGAACACTGCAGACCAACTGAAGGCAAGCTTGCTGAAGACAGCAGGGAATGACTGAAGTCTCTGAACGCCTGGAAGGGATCAGCGACTTGGTAGCAAGGGAAACACTCGTACACTCATGCACTGCAAACTTCTGTTTGAGAGGAGACCCATACTCCAAGACTGAAGTATTGGTGAAGTGATTGTTTGGTAACGATTGAGTTGGCAGATTTGTGAAATATCTCATAAAGTGCCCTCACTAAAAGGAAACGCGTACATCTACACATTTCTAATTCGTAGCTGCACAATTTGTGACTCCAGACAAACAGTTGTGAACAGGGCAGGCTGGAAGCTGAGCACAGGCTACCTGAGAGAGAGGCAGGGCTTAGAGAAATAGGGCTATTAAAGTGGAAGACCACACTCTTGGTTAAAGACGGGTAAGTGAGGCCATACGGTACATTGTGTGTTTCTGTCTTACAATTTGTCCTGTGCTGGGGTTCTTGTGTGCATACGGTGGTCCTCTGATGTGGTTCCACATCTGACCTGAGGTCATGATCAGGACGAAGCACTGAAACACAAGAAAACACACATCCCTGAGTCATCCAAAGCTGAGAAGCTGCTGGGTGTTTATTCTGTGTTTCACTCTGCTTTGGCTTGTGGATAAAAGCCTTAAAGACAACATTTAATCATTTTAATAATCATGTTATCAACCTTTGCAGTTACTTCAAAAGTCACCAATGCAGACATGAATAATAATGTAACGTCACGTGCACATAAAAGTACGACAAACAGTTCAGTCTAAGCACCGGTTAGTCCAGTCATCTAAGAGAAATCAGTGTTGAGGTTTCCAGTCTGGTTCCAGGCTTCTCATATCCCTGGACCTGCTTGTCCTAGACTTCATGATCCTGGCTTTGGACTTGGATTCTGACCCTGTGCTCCTCTGACCTGGTGCTGGTGTGCCTCTCTCCGTTTGTTCTTTATATCTGGGCCATCAGTCACTGAGGGACCTCTGACTCTCCTCAGGATCTTAATGCCCTGTTCTAGATGTTCTGGGTCTGGATCTTTATCTTCTTTGTGTGCACCTTGCCTTGTTACTGAAGCTTTGCTCCCTGTTTATGTAGTAAGTGTGTTTTCTAGGTAAGAATCTGATTTAATTACTAATCCATGAAGATTTTTATCTTTTAAATGATAATTAAATAGTAATATGAGACAACTAATGGCTCTTTCTGAGGTATTTATTTCTATTCTTTATTCTCATCTAATTGCCCACATCCTGAGGCATCTTGTGGCACATTGGCAGTTAGCTGCTCCATTATGACAGTGCATTCACTCACAGCGCACTGAAAACATGCGAGGAGACTTCTCCAGTTCTAACTAACAGATAGGAACTTTCAGATGTTTGTAGTCATATGACTAATGGCTCATCAACAACCAGTACTCACGTGCTTCCAGGTATGAATAGTTGTGAAAGCAGGTGATCCAACCACAACAGTAAAAATGGTGGTGGAGCTGCTAGTGAACACAGGATGTAAATGTACCATGTCAGGAGGGACCACTGAGGTTTGGGGATCAACATGACCCGGATGACTGAGAATCTACACAGAAAGTAAAAGGGTCTACCTGATGGTGCAAACAGGTACTACAGCTGGTCTACAACACATTGCTGACATGCATGTGCAGAAAATGGCAGGGCCGCTGTGAGCAGCTATTGCTGCACAAAGTGGAGACTTGGAAGGGATGAGGCCAGATTTAAATCTGGTGCAGGTGCAGGCACAAACTGAACTTCTTCCTCTTCTTTTTTTTTTTTTTTAAATCGCATCTCGTATATAATCACTGCTTTTATTTTATTTATTTTGTTGTGCATATGACAGCTGAAGGTATTTAATCTGTACTCTTCTAATTAATGATTATATTTACACTACCGTTCAAAAGTTTGGGGTCACATTGAAATTTCCTTATTTTTGAAGGAAAAGCACTGTACTTTTCAATGAAGATAACTTTAAACTAGTCTTAACTTTAAAGAAATACACTCTATACATTGCTAATGTGGTAAATGACTATTCTAGCTGCAAATGTCAGGTTTTTGGTGCAATACAGTACATAGGTGTATAGAGGCCCATTTCCAGCAACTATCACTCCAGTGTTCTAATGGTACAATGTGTTTGCTCATTGGCTCAGAAGGCTAATTGATGATTAGA